ATCGTTCAATATATTAAAAACGTAACCATGACGTTTCGGCAGTTAACCGTCCTGCCATCTTCACGTTACAACTCAGATGAACACCGTAGACATCTTCACCGCCCTGAGAACTCAAAATCTAACATTTTGAAAACGTTCCAAAATTATTTCTGAACTCAATTTGGCGAATAATTTTCTTTCGAAAACCGTACGTCGGCGCGTATCGGGGAATTTTCAGCGCACACGACACGCGTGTACGACACGCCGAGAAATGTGCAGGGGCGAGTCTCTGGAAAATAATGCGGTAGATTTAGTACGCAGATAAATCTCTCGTTAAATTTCTAAACAGACTTCAAGACTTTGAGTTCCAAGTACCTCCACAATTTTCGTGAAAGCTCATTTTACCTGTCAGTTTAATTAATGTTGATTATGACCGTAATGGAGTGTAGTCCAGAGAGTACCGAGAAAATAAACCAAATTATTACACACACATAGCAGAAAATTCTCTAAAATACCATCATAACCTTTCTGCTTTCGAGGGGGTATTTGGGAAGGGGGAAAATCACATAGTCGACGTTTCGGAGTCTCCAATTCGGGACGAAACAGCTCAGCAACACAGTAATGTAGGACCGCGTATGAGAATGCTCTGTCTGACCAATAAATAAAGAGTAATTTTATACTCTCATGTTACTACGCCTTCTTACACCCGGAAAAAAAAGTCGAATGGCATACATTTTGAATATCGTGGCTGGTTAAAAAAAGGAAATTAAATACATTTCGTCACGACACGAAGATATAAAAGAATTTAAAATTTTATACACACGTGATAAATAACTTCGAGTGACATAACACTAACAAATGAGTAATGGACGCCTAACGTCCGAGAAATCAGCTACAAAATTGCTGTCTTGTGGGTTGCATCGTCGTGTGGTCTAGCACTTTAACTCAAACATTATGAATCCAGAAGAAAATCATCTCCCAACTATCAGCTTTTCTCATAGATAAAGCGAAATTCTGCACCCGCGCAAGACAGAAGCTGACACATCCTAAATCCCTTGACCTCCTCGGGTCCTGTTTCACAACCGCAGTAACTGGAATGTTCTTCCAGATTAAACATTAACAGTAATGCACGGCTCGTAAGTCCGCGATTAACTTATTCAACGCAAGTTAAAGTTTCAGTGGCTTTACAGGCAAACGGATTATAAAGCCGTACCGGGTAGCGACTACTTAAAACAAGAGTGAAAATTCAGCACGTTTCGAGTTTTAAAAGGATATTTTGTTACGGGTTTGCAAAATACGGGCGTGATAACAAAACACATGCACCAGAGGCCTTATTTGCTAATTTATTTCTGCGCAGACTGTACATTTGAAACACGAAGATGTTCGCAGTCAGCGGCATTTTTTTAAAGTTTTTAAGAGCCATTTTATATATATATATATATATATTCCTCAACCCCTAAGATGAGGCCCGTTTTCTGACGATGATGAGTTACATATCCGGTTCTCCTGACTTCATCAATCGTTCAATATATTAAAAACGTAACCATGACGTTTCGGCAGTTAACTGCCCTGCCATCTTCACGTTACAACTCAGATGAACAACGTAGACATCTTCACCGCCCTGAGAACTCAAAATCTAACATTTTGAAAATGTTCCAAAATTATTTCTGAACTCAATTTGGCGAATAATTTTCTTTCGAAAACCGTACGTCGGCGCGTATCAGGAATTTTCAGCGCACACGACACGCGCGTACGACACGCCGAGAAATGTGCAGAGGCAAGTCTCTGGAAAATAATGCGGTAGATTTAGTACGCAGATAAATCTCTCGTTAAATTTCTAAACAGACTTCAAGACTTGAGTTCCAAGTACCTCCACAATTTTCGTGAAAGCTCATTTTACCTGTCAGTTTAATTAATGTTGATTATGACCGTAATGGAGTGTAGTCGAGAGAGTACCCAGAAAATAAACCAAATTATTACACACACATAGCAGAAAATTCTCTAAAATACCATCATAACCTTTCTGCTTTCGAGGGGGTATTTGGGAAGGGGGAAAATCACATAGTCGACGTTTCGGAGTCTCCAATTCGGGACGAAACAGCTCAGCAACACAGTAATGTAGGACCGCGTATGAGAATGCTCTGTCTGACCAATAAATAAAGAGTAATTTTATACTCTCATGTTACTACGCCTTCTTACACCCGGAAAAAAAAGTCGAATGGCATACATTTTGAATATCGTGGCAGTAGCTCGTGTTCCACTGAACCTCAGGAAGCAAAGTTTCAAACCAAAATTATAACAAGTACACGCAACAAGCCCTTCTCTTAGTTTCAGAGCTGAAATTAGCAACACGAACCATCCCTTTCAACGAGACATGTAGCTGTGTCCCGTATCAATTTGTATGTTGGTCTAGTGTAAACATGACTCAAGTGAACGGGACCGCGGGGACGGGCCAGAAGCACCAACATTACAGCTCACTATCCCGAGCAAACCAACATCCCCGCGTACAGCGCGTCCCAAAAGCCGCGAAACACAACGGCGAACGTCATACTAACAACACATATCACATCATAACTACGTATTAATCCTTTAAATTCGAGGTTCGACTAAATTATATTTAAGAATTCAGTCCGTACCGCGAAGAAAACACAGCACTTCACCATTACAAAGATCAAATGTTTAACGCTGTTTAAGGAAATAATCGCTGTTTATAATGAGACACGCACTGCGTACATAATATTTAAACATTGAGTCCGTACCGCGAAGAAAACACAACTCTTCACCATTACGAAGATCAACTGGTTAACGCTGTTTAAGGAAATAATCGCTGTTTATAATGAGAATCATACGAAGCCCTAAATACAAAAAACTATTGGACTTTAAATGGTTAAAGATAAATAACACAGACTCAAAAAATATATCATATTTCTGCGGTGAGAAAAGCCATCAGAATTTTCTGCAGGTTTACCCCAAGTACACAGAAAACTAACGAATGAGATAAGTTCTCGGCGAACAAAAGAGTGGGGAAAAAAAGAAAAATCAAAATTAAATTTTCAAATTCTATACGATTTCGTCCATACTTTCACACGAGTCCCACATGACCATAAATCCCAACCTTGACATACGCGTTCAGATACGTGGAACGTCTTTTTTCTCTAATTTTTTTTAATTACCCCACGCTCCATTTACGATCTAGAGATGTATAGATATTCCACACTGAGACCATCCAGCGCCAAAGTCATCCATCATTAAACACAGCCTACTAGAATTCTGTCTATCTCCGGTCAGTTATCGTCCACCTATTTATCGGTTCATGACGGAGTACACAAAAGCACGAGCGTTGGAAACACAACGGAATAAATGCAAATGACATCGAATGACCAGAGTAATGATTAATGGATTCCAATTGTTTAGTTCAATCTCGATAACATCGCGTTCAAGAAATATCAATCGATGGAACTAACATCGGTTTAAATAACGCAGAAATTCATTTTAAAAACCTGTCAAAGTTAATATTACGACAAGGGGTCGCGTGTTTTGTGGTTTAAAACACGTTTATTTCGAGATATCAGCATTTCTAACACGCGTAATTTCTGTTTCTCACCGCGGCGAATATAAAGTTGGCTATCTAACAAATTTGCACCACGCACTTTTTAAAAATTTAATCTTTCCCATTATACACCATTGGCGGAGCATCCTGTAAAATCTGTGGGCATTACTTACTTTATAAACTCCAAATATTCAAATATGGCGTCGCTTCTTATGTCACGACATCGATTCAAACACGCGAACACAGTTCCATAAGCCTGTCTTGTCTTAAACGTGGGGTCCCTACTAAACGAACAGGAAAATGTCACATGTTGAATTAAATTCGGCTCCAAACAGGACTCGACATCGTAACTTCAAAATCCGTATTCTTATACGGCCCTTCAATACAATGGAACTCATAATTAACTGCTCGCTTATAATGCGTCATTAATTCCACGTCATTCTTGTCACGAAAACTTCGACAGAAGTCGCTTCGTATTTCCATGCCTGGACCTACGAATTCTAGGCATTCCGCCCAACATACTAAGCACCAGCAACTTTGTAAACTAAAATTCCTGTTCCAAAATACCAATTCGGTTCCGAAGCCGACGTCATCAACGACTGATACACGAGTCGTGGAAAGTACACAACTTTACTTTCAACTCAACGTCACTGTTCATGTTTGTCCCGAATCGATATCAGCTTCTTCTTTTTTTAAAAAAAAAAGTTTCAAACCAAACGCATTTCTACCCGATTCGCTCTGCACGCCTAACCCACATTACAATACAGTGGATTCCGATTAATTGCGACACAAACGGGACTAGAACACTTCGGCCCAATTAAGCGAAGTTTCGCGTAAAGATTTAAAAAAGTTTTATTCTTTAAGATTTGTCCCAAATAAACGTCTGCCCCAATTAACCGGAACAGAGTATAAATTATCCACCCTCCTATCACTTCATACCTCTCAGGTACAAATATCTTCTGGCTTAAGTAAAACGTAATTTATAATTACTTAAGCCCTTCTTGCAGCATCACGCTAATACAGAGGAAATAACTCATGACAACAAGCATCATCATCATTAGAAAGAATTTCAAGGTCAAAGTCATGTCTCATATAAAGGTAATTTTTCGCCAACAAAAATATCCCCAATTAGCTATTGATTTTTTTAAAAAAAACTCGATTTAAATAACCCCCAGCCCAGTCAACAAAAAATTACATCCCTGATGAGCTACTGATTTCACTGATTTTTCGTACGTACCGCATTGGAATGGGTCTGGTCTGTCTTCAGTTCCTTGTGATTTGAGAACTGGACATACACTGCTCTTCCTCTCAGCTGTGCCATGCAACTGGTGAAGTAGGTTACCATGGTAGACGCTGCCACCTCGTCCGCCATCTCTAGGAATGCCTGGAACACCCAACACAACAAATGTTTGCTAACTTGTCATATCCCACTCCTGTTATCATTTCAGACTACATACAGTCTTATTTTTCAGTAGTGGCCGGTGACAGGTCAATGCGCAGTGGACTTTGGTCGGGCCCTCAAACAAATATAACAACGCGGTAAAGCAGAAGCTATAAACGATTCACAGCAAAGTTGATAGATCGATAAAAATATTTATATCTGAATAATGCTTCTCCTAAGTAAAACAGAAACTAATTTATAATTTATTCAGTCTACACGCGTTTTGTTTCCGACTGTCTGATCTGTTGTGTCACACCCATTGCAACTCATTCTTAAAAGCAACACCAAAAATATTTTTCAGCGAATAAAAAATCAGACACAAAATTTTCTGACGAAACCTGTATCTACAGTGTGTTTTCTAGACGCCGCTATGTTACGGGTACGCCTGACCTTGGCGGTAAAAGAGTCAGAAGCGTACGGGAGAGACGGCGCTGTTAAACAGAACACCCTGTATCAAACTGTTCACGTCAGGAACAACGGTCGATATATCGACAAAATAAAAACAGTAAGAACGCAGATATCGTTTATGAACGTCGATCTGTTTGTGACAAAAGTTCTGTTACTACAGAATACATTTTTTCTTATAAAAATTCCCTTGAGATAGAAGATAGAGATTAATTGGGACAATTCGGCCCAATTAAGCGAAGTTGCACGTAAAGATTTAAAAAGTTTTATTCTTTAAGATTTGTCCCAAATAAACGGCTACCCCGATTAACCGATGGCCCAATTAACCGGAATCTACTGTATTACCATCGTTTTTTGGAAACCTTATTTATAAAAATGGCATTTGTCTCGTAGTATTACCTTATAATTCTGAAATAAATACCTCTACGAATTAATAACTGTATACAAAAAAGAAGTCATTCACTAGCTTCTCCCACAAGAGTATCAAAATAAAAAACCCATATCACAACACTGTATCTGGAACACCTCTCAGGTACAAATATCTTCTGGCTTAAGTCAGATATATAAATTTACGGCTATGAAGGTTCCCAGGCAGTGCCCTGTCGTCCCTCTGGTACGGGCAGCTTTATTAATGTTCTTCAGAGAAAATAATCTTTTAATGTGACAATAATTCAAAAATACAGAGGCGCTGATTATTAAACCAGTTGGTACATATATTTACCACCGGGTTTTAAAGTGATAAAATGTTTCTATTAAACAAATGTTAAATTCCAACAAAATCTCAAGTCGTTTGCGTTTCCACTCTGTATAATGCAATGGGTCCATCTTACAACCTCCCACCCCATTTGCCAGGGGATGCAGTCTCACCCCTCTTTTACATCAACAGCCCTTCACAATCCTTTGTATTCTCTCGTGCAAGCACGCACTACCCCCCCCTCTCTCTCTCTCCTGCCTTGTTTCAATGTTGTCTGCTAATGACGAAAGATGCCTCGAAGCACCTTATTCTGTACCGAGTACAGTCATTTCCAAAATCACTTTAACGTACACAAAATCTGTATCTAAATATAATAAACGCTGTCCACAGAAAACGGAAGCTTAACCCACTGTTTTGTATGGATTTAAAATGTGGTCTCTGACGTTAAAGGGAGAACAGAGGTTAAGGGTGTTATTTTTAAAAAAAGAACAGTAGTAATAATAATGAGACCATACCCACAGAGGAACACAAAACACGACAATTAAGTAAAAGATACGAACACGGGTTTAATAATTAATAATAATTGTGATAACTATTTACTTAATGAGATCTCAGCCCGCAAAAACCAGTGGTTGTAGCAATAAAAAAAATAGAAATAAATCTACAAAATCAACTGAATACGGCATTTCACGTAGCGGGAAACTTTCCTTCTACAAGGGAAATTTTAAGAACGCACAAACCTAAAACACCAATTTATATTTTAATCGATAAATATTTATATCGGGCCTATAAATTGATATAATTTATAAATAATTCTGAAAGTATATCGTATATAAACTCATGAGATGTGAAAAGTGATGTTCTAATGTAAGTCGAACATTTCGATAGAGAACATCATTTTAATATATTTTAAATATTTAAATGTTAATTATAGTAATATTTCAATATTTTAATATTTAATAGGAATTTTATTGTGATTGAGATTGTGCTCCTGGTTACGGAGATATCAATTCGTAAGTTAAACATTTCACAGAAGACATTAAAACACGAAAAGACACGATAACAGAATACTGAGTTCGTTTTAAGGACCCAAGACAACTTATGCGATAGTCGATTACTTACGATTCGACCTGGAATACGATTTGACGTCTCGCCAATTTAATTGGTTTCCACGTTAATACATTTCCCACGATCTATCTGTACCACACGCACGACACACTAAAACAGACACCCAATTACGTCGTATAACATAAAAATTCACATTTACCCTACGTCGTGTGGTAATGACTATCAAATAATAATAATAATTCATCAAAGACATCAAATGAGTTACTCCACCAAAGATAAGCTACATAAAAAATATTATGTTCGTCGGTAGTGGTGATTATATTGTTCCTCTGGGACTTGGCTCTGATTAAAATTTCTACTCGACGACGCGTCTACACGGCGCCAAAACCCAAGATTATAACATCCGACACAAAGAAAGTTGCTATGAGTAACGAAATATAATTAAAAATGGCTTAGTTATGGACGTATCTCCGCAAAATATTAACAGCTAGAACATTACTACAAACACACATAAACCAGCTTAAAAGCTCTAAGCACAACTATCGATTTCGACAGTTAATGTCGTTGAAGAAAGACACTTGCTAGCTCCAGCCCCTTCATTAATGCGACAGTATTTCCCAGGTGCTAGCATTCAGTGACATTGTTTTTATACCCAGTTTATGTATTCGGGATAACACAGCTGCAAGCCAGTGTTTACGACAGTCCGGTGGACTTCAACCCACTTAAACGACCGGGGTAGCCAGCGTTCTTTCCTGTCCGAACTACATTATCCACCGCACGTGGCTCGCTCTAGTTTCGTCGTATGCAATTAACCGTTCAAAAAAAAAAACAGTAGCAACGATATGCGCTACCAGCTTTAACAATAATAATAAAAAAACTTCGCATTTTTGCCACACAAGTGTATTTGTGGGTTTCGTAAGTCTCTCTCAGGACGTAAATATATTATTTCTTTCTAAACTGCATTAATCAAATGATCTTTGCAATGAAGACACCTCTTATTTTCCTTGCGGTAGTTACCCTTATCTGACACTAGATGGAGTTGAACGATAAGCACATACCTCTTTCACAACAGAATAACAGCTAAACACCAAGTCATAAAACAACCAAAAAATCATTACTTATCACTGGTAAAAGAACAAAGGATTTGATGTACAAGACCTGTTATAAGCCTACTACTTCTTTTAGAAACAATTGACGCAATACTCAAAACTACGTCATTAGTGCCGTAAGCTGACGTGTGGAGGACAAAGAGTGATGGTCAGAGAATTGGATTTCAGTACCAAAATTTTTACACCACATATAGGAAACCCCAAAAACATTTATACACATTATAATGTGAAATTTACAACTTGTTTCCGATCTGAGTGTGTAATATCCGTGAGGAGAACCTACCGTAGACTACGCTTAACAGATGGCACTGCAATATCTTTTCCCATGATTCAAGATACACAAAATGGCGGAAGGTAGATTGAGTTTCGTTCAATGAGTGTATATATCTTTTTCTTTATACGTCCTGTACAAGGCGTAGGAAGCAAATGTGCCGTGCCAGAAACAATGTTAAGCCGTCAATTACAACTGGAAGTGCCAGAATGCATTAAGAGGAACTCCAGAGACCACTTACAATGGTACAGTCACAGAATAAAACAGCGTAGACTTGGGGGGGGACGAAAATCAATCCGAGTTTCATGGGACTTTGTGGCCAAAGCTTATAAAATATTTCTTCACTGTGGTTATTTTAATGCCCCCAGAAATTAGTTTCATGAAGAAATGTCGTATGTGTGACGACTAAAATAAAATGGTAACTGAAAAACACGTTTTGGCAACAAATAAATATGTTCCAGTTATTCATATAGTGACATACATAACCTATCTCTTTACACTAAGGCTATCAAAATCCACAGAAATATTTTCCCTTTGCATTGATACAACGTGCGAAGAAAATGTTTGGAACCAAAGTGACCGATCTTGACATTTCGTATTTTATATTTTTATTTAGTGTTCTGTCTGACGACAGGTCCATATGAACAGGATCCTTCCATCCTTTTCTCGGACTGGGACCTGTTCATATACGTTCTTGGCAGATGATCCAGAAGGGGTTTGCCATTGCCTTCTTCTGTGTGTGAATGCTAAATTTTGTAGCTCTAAACAACGCATTTGCAGACCTGTACAACAAACGGAACTACTGTCAGGGAAGACCTTTATCTTCGACTGTTAAACGTACAAAAGAGTTTACGAACTGTCGAATAAGAATTTGGAAATACCCAATCATTCTGGCCAAACATTAAGTTAAAATTCTATTTAAAGTATCAGCACTATTGTCTAATTTACTGTACAATATTTACAAAGACTTTATGACAGTGAAACGCGTATTAACAAGGAGAAACAAACGCAGGACAGTATAGTGAAATAAAATGTTATGAAATGGTGAAAAGTGGTAATCGTTTCGGATAGGATAAAAAATTACATTAACGAAGAACTACATAGACCGCCACACTTACACCACATACACGCGGGAAACAGATAAAAAAGTGAGATAACTAACAATATTCTGAATTACAATCCACGAACTGTTTCCTCCTCACTACACAAGAAATCAGCCATGCTCCTGATTGGCCTCAGGGTGTGACCTAAGCCATTACACACTTCCTCTCCCGAGTGTACGAAACTGAAAGCCGTCCAGCTGAAGCACATGGCGTTGAAAGGAATGTTAGCTGGACGAATTGTAACCGTAATCAATACAATAATACAATTATACACTTGTTTCAATAATACGAAA